CACCTTAGTGTCGTCTGCAAATTTAACCAGTTTACTGTATGTATTCGTGTCAATATTACTAAATTGAACCCTGCGGTACCCCACTATAAACGGAGGCCCACTGTGACATAGTGCCTCTAATAACTACTCGCTGCTTCCTATCAGTTAGCCAGTTTTTGATCCAAGCTGCCACAGTTCCTAAAATTCCTGCAGCTTTAAGCTTTAACAAGAGCCGTTTGTGGGGGACAACATCACGATGTTGGCGTTGCCGCAAGGGCTAGTCATTTAAGCGCGAATGAGAACCGTTTCGCAGGGATCGATGTCACATGTTTTTTTTTTCCCCCCGAATATTCGAATCTCAAAATGAAAACTCGAATGCCATCCCTCCAAACGAATATTCGAATATTCTGGTCCAGCCCTAGAATTGTTACTGAAAAAAATACTACTTTGTCCTTCATTTGTAGTAAATAACTACCAATTAGTGTTTCTAAGTTTACAGTACACGTGCGCAGTTTGTTTATAGTGATGACAACGTGTATAGTGATGATGTATCTGAGGTTCCTGTCATAACCTTTTTCCCTCTCTTCCTACTGTGATCTTTGATTATCTCAGGGGGGAGAATGGTCCAGGAGGATTTGTGGTTCTCAAGTCTGGTACCAGTCCCTCTGTGTGCACCTTCATTTGGGTTCTCAACACTGACCTTAAGGTAAAGATGCCTATTATTACCATTAACAACTATAATGTTTTTCAATCAGTGTCTTCCTTTTTTTTCCCTAGATAGAGTACCAATGAGTACCAATGTTCACATTCTGGTTGTCACCAATACCAGTTCAAGCTGGATGATATTTAAAAAAATGTGATGTCAGGATAAATTATATCATTAAAATTAGCCCTCCCTCCCAGATATTATACAGGTACAGTACCTGTACTGTGCTATGTCATTACATAAAAAGAAACTTACTGTACTGTACAATTACAGCACCCTCCAAAATTATTGGCACCCCTTCTAAAGATTTGTAAAAAGGGTTAGTTAAAAATCCACCTTTTGGTGAAGTAGTTCCTTATCACACTGTAAAAATTAGAAAAGTGAAATAAATTTATTGAAAGAAAAACTAATTCCTCATCAAGAAATAATTTTCAACAAAAACACATGTGCCACGATTAATGGCACCCCTGAATTTAATACTTTGTACAACATCCCTTTGCCTGTATAACAGCACTGAGTCTTCTCCTATAACATTTTATATGGTTGGAGAATACAGAGCAGGGCATCTGAGACCATTCCTCTTTACAGAATCTCTCCAGATCAACCAAGGTCCTAGGCCCTCTCTTGTGCACTCTGCTTTTCAGCTCAGCCCATAAATTTTCAATTTATTTAAAATTTCTGCGGTCAGCTAACCATTTTTGTGTTGATTTGGACATGTGTTTATGATAACTGTCCAGCTGGAAGATCCAATGATGGCCCAGTTTTTGTTTCCTGGTAGGGGCAGTCAAATTTTGATTTTAAATGTCCTGATCCATAATGCCATGTACCCTAATGAGGTTTCCAGGGCCTTTGGAGGAAAAACAGCCCCACAACCTTTAAATTTGGTTCCAGTCAAAGTTGTAGTAGTGTTTCGCAGGTGCTTGCATTTGTGGTTAACTGACAAAAAACAGCTTTTTCTGGCATACCTTCCAAATAATCTGTTAGCATGAAGGGGGTGTCTGATAGTTTTTCAGAGACGTGGTAACCCCAAGATTTTACTTAGTCTTGTAATTCACCAACAGTCATCCTTGGGGATTTTTTTGCCTCTTATGATCCTCCTCACTGTACTTGGGGGAAAAATAAACTTGGGTCCTCTTCCAGGCAGGTTTGTAACCGTTCCAGTTAGAGCTGAGCGATATGGCAAAACAAATTACCACAATATTTTTTCCTGTATTGACCGATATTCATAATTATCAATATTATAGTTTCACAATGTTGTTCCATGTAATAATGTAATAATCAAAATAATAATAAAAAATAACCCTATTCTGACAAATAGAATGAATATATTGAAATAAACAATATTAGTAAACAAATACTTATTTTCCAACAAATTTTACTGTTTACATCCAAAATTCCCTTAAAATTATAAAAGGTTATTGATTTTCAAGTATTCAAAGAAACATAGCTCAAATGAACAAAAGCATATAATAATGTAACAATGTGCAAAACTGTATAATATTGCAACTATGTTAAAGAGCAAACATAAAATAAAGCAGGACAGAATTGACTGCAACAAGTATCTTCCTCTATTCGTGGTCTCTTAAAAACTTTTTAAAATTCTGAGGTAGAAAAGTATCTAAACCAAAAACACTCATTCAAAAAAAATGCCAAATCATAGCTAGATTTTTTTGTCCAGCGCTGCAAAACGTCAGCACTCGTCACCATGTCACATGGTACAAAATCCTTGCGAGAGCAAGACAACGTGCAGCACAAACTGGAACCGCCTCCGTGACGACACAACTTTGCCCTTATTGGCTAAAGATTTTAGTCACATGCATGACGTTTGTATCCCAGGAAGTTCCAATACGTTATCTGCTATTTTTCCCGAAAAGAACGTAAAGCACTGAGAACTGGTTTCAGTTCATTTACCTGGTAAAATAAAGTTTAAATAAGTTACATAAATGCTCTAACAGTACACGTAAGTTAGTGGTTTATTTATTGTTAGTTACTGTAATGTTGC